TAAAAATATTCAGATAGTACAGACGGATCTAAAATGAAAAGTTAAATTATCTTGTTCCCCTTTACACAAATCATTGTCCTATATAGCAAAGGTATCTCCCTCTAACCATGCATGTTTTTATTTTTTCTGAAGGTTGTCCTAGAAATATAGTTTACATACAAGTATCTCCATTTCTTGATTTATTAACTCCAGACAGTATCTATGGATTTCTTACTATGAAAGATGAGAAATTTTAGCTAACTTATCCCTTCCTTTCCCTCACCACTCCTCCACTTAACTTCCATGAGTAATATCAATTTTGGTTGTGAGTACCTTCATAATTTTAAACAATACACTTCAATCTCTATTTCTTCATCTATCAACTTATAGACGATATGTTTTAACTACATGGATTTTTCTTAATGGGAGAAATCAGATGTAAAAATGGTTATTCTCTATATTCCTTGGATCATAAAGTTCCACATTTATGAAGGAATACTTCATAGAAACAGATCTGTCTTTGGTGATTTTAATGGAATCAGAGACATCTGTTTAAATAGAATTAAAAATGTTGATATACCAATTAAAAATGGGCAAAGGAAATGAGCAGACACTTCACCAAAGAAGACATTCAAGTGGCTAACAGACGCATGAGGAAATGCTCGTGATCACTAACCATTAAATGCAAATCAAAACCACAATGAGATAGCATCTCACCCTGGCAATACTGGCACAAATCAAAAAAACAGAATATAACAAATGCTGGAGAGGCTGTGCGGAAACTGGAACTCTTATGCACTGCTGGTGGGAATGCAAAATGGTACAACCATTTTGGAAAATGATATGGCGCTTCCTTAGAAAGGTAGAAATAGAAATATCATATGATCCAGCCATTTCACCCCTAGGAATATATCCTAGAGAAATAAGAGCTGTCACACGAATAGCCATATGCACACCCATGTTTACAGTAGCATTGTTCACAATAGCAAAAAGATGGAAACAACCTAGATGCCCATCAACAGATGAATGGATAAATAAACTATGGTACATACACACAATGGAG